AGCAGAGTGATAAACGTTAAATCCACCAACTGCCACGTCTTTATCTTAATCACTATAAAATTAGATAACTGACTTTCAGATACGACAGTTATGTCAGCACTACTTGAACAGGCCCAGACTCTAAGTATATCCATCTTAGGCAGCGAGCTATGAGCGCTTATATGAAGGATGTGGAAACCAGGCAGTTGGTATATCACACACAGCCAGGGGCCTAGCGTTAACACCAGAGGAAAACAAAACATGATTATTAAGCACTTGTAAATGTTCTGGTAAACAAATAACGACAGTAACAAGTATAGCTGACAGCTATACTTGATCCAGAGACGCCTGGCACCTTCAACCCACACTGTTGGCTGTACCCAAAGCTGCTGCTCGCTGCTGTCAGCTGTTGCCCCCCGTCTGGTGCTAAAAGACGTAATGACTTCTCTAATATTTTCCCATGTGGCAAAGCTAACCAGCAGGCTCTGCTTTACTGTAACACAAAGATGAAACCATCACAGTGTGCAGCTGTTCATTCAGGAGCTGATTAATCAGTGAGGACCTGAGCTGTCATGTGATGAGCTGATGATGTCACAGAAACACTGAGTCACCTGACTTAGGCAGAACATTTGTGAAGCAGAGCTCAGAGTCGGGTTTGAAGAACATCTGCAGCATCTTTGCTCCAGTCCCCTGGCTGCTTCTCACTGAACTTGTGAGCCAAAGGTGTATTTCCATCTGTAACAGTGAGAGCAAGGGTCAAAGGTCAAAGAGTGACGGCTCAGGCTGAACTGATACACGCCACAGTTCTAATGTTTCATGCTGCTCACACTTTGGCTTTGGTAAAGTAACACTGGCAGGCTCCACAGCTACCCCTCACCTTCCTGGTATATGCACCTATGGTTCAAATGTGAAGATCCTAAGTGATTAGGGAAATGCTTGATTCAAACTGGGCCGAGGTTTTTACTATAAACTCGTATTTCGCCTCCCCACCCTGCTCGCCTGTGAGCTGTGTTGTGAGCTTTCAAACATTGTAAACTTGGAAATTCTTTGCTGACGTGTTTGTGGTGTGACACAGCGGAGACAACAGATTTATCTGTGGTTATATTGAGTTATTAATCAGTGTCTGCTGGCAGAATAAGACATAAATGTAAGTATCTTTAATATTTAACTGACCGTTAGCCTGATTCATGTGGAAATTTCTCACATATCAGATTTAAAAACAAAGGTCCTCTTACAGGGCCCTGTGGCACCCCACTATTACTACAATCTCAAAGGACATCAGAGAGAGAGGAGAGATTCTGAACTCTGACCCTTAATAATTCTAATTTTCATGCTCTGGTTCTGATTTAAATCATCCTGCTGATGAACATCTAAAGTATACGTGTCCTTTAAAGTGCTGTGAAGAAAACATGTATGTGACATGTACATGAAACTGTATAGAAGGCCTAGAATCCACACTGGTTTCAAACTCATGTGTTGTGGTATGACCAGTTTGGTGTGAGTGCTGCTCTGACCTCTGCTGCACATCCTCGTGTAGATGACTCCAGCCAGGAAAAAGAGCAGACCCAGGATCAGCCCAAAGGCTCCAACGATCATCAGTTTCTTGGATTCAGACATGGACGGGACTGAGGACACACAGGTGAGAGTCACACAGGTGGACAGACACACAGGCAGGTGTACAGGTGTGTAGATACAGACAGGTATTTACCCCAGTCAGTAACCAGAGGTTTCTCCAGGCTGGAGTGCTCCACCATACAGGAGATCTTCTCTCCAGACCTACAACACAAACCAACATCACTGACTCTCACTTTCCTCCAGATGTTTCATTGGTAATGAATCATATAAAAATCAGTTCAGAGGATGGTGTCTACCTCAATTTATTAAAACATTAGCATCAACCGTTCAGCATCACTTTCTTCCTCGGATGAAGAGGTAGATTCCTGCTGCCACGCCGAGGACACCGACAGTCAGACCCACTCCACAAAAATATTGCAGGTCCCAGAATGGATTCAACGCCGACCACATCTGTATAGACAGAGAGAGACGTGAACCTTCACATCTGTAAACAGTCAGTCTTTGTGCTGGGACTTTCTGCTTGTTTTTTAATTTCAGATCATATTACTAGAGATCATTGAACACACTTCCTTTGCACACATGGAGCCTTAGAATGTAACTCACCTTGTGATTACTGTTGTTGGTACATTTTACAATAAACTGAACCTGATATACTCACCATAGAATTTGGTAAATGGTTGGGTCAGGGCCACATGTTCCACATTGCAGGCGTACACATCTCCTCCCTTTGGAACAAAGTCCAGTTTGGACGTCTGGCTGAAGGAACCATCCTTGTTGGATAAGGGAACAGTCATGCTGGTTCCTTCAACCACTTTCTTTGTGTTCTTGCGCCAGGTGACGTTAACGGGAGCAGGATAGAAACCAGTCACATGACAGATCAAAGTGTTCTGGACTCCAATCTCCACATTTACTGTAGTGTAGATGGTCACACTGTAAGGAGCATCTGTGCACAAACACATACAGTTTACTCACAACACCACGCGACTCAATAACATGAGAAAACAAAAAACTGAAAGAAACAGAAGCTTCTGCTGCTGAACTCCAGTTTCTAGAGAAAATGGAAAAAACACAAATGTGCAAGAACAGATTTTTGTTGTTTTCATGTCATGTGATAAAGAGGAAATACATACTGTAGGTTCCCTATTTCATTTCATAGGAAGCATAATATTTCCATAGCATAAGATAATATAAACTAAGATAAGATGGGACAAGAGAAGAAGATTTTTAGTTATGCAGAGAGAAATTCTTTTGTCATAAACAGCGCTGCTAGTAAGTAGATCATCTTTGTGCTTTATCAAAGACATGAGTGTGATCAACATCTTAGCAGAATGATGTCGTCTATTTCTGCTCATCATCATCGCTGTGTTGGATTATGATTCTGAGAAGGATTTGGGCGTCCATCATTTACCAGGTGGACTGCAGATTCTGAAGCCTTTTAAGGTTCTCCCTGTGAATCGTAGCGTCCTTATTATTTTCAATAACAGAGCACTGAGGTGGAACATACCTACACTACAGGAAGTGCCTATCTCACCACCAAAGCTAAGAACAACATCACCATTAGTTCAGAGTGGGTTAATTAAGTAATTAGAATCAATTCGATTATTATTTTTTTAATGTGCAGTTAAAGTCTAAACTGTGAACATTCCCTTTCTAACTGTTTGTGAAACAATAAAGGTGTGAATCTGAGTATAGATCTATTTAAGTCCAAACAGATCTAACTGGTTGCTCTAGCAAGTCACATCTTCCCCTGAAGCCTGAGATCTGGGCTTCTAAAACCATCCCGAGTAAACAAGTCCCACGATCTAGACGGGGCTGTCATACCATAAGTGATTGATAGGAACTGACTTGCAAGGCAAGTTTGTTCATGTCTTTCTCAAAACAACACATTAATAGTTTGCAGGAACTAATTACTGAAGTTAACTCAGAAAGATGAATTTAGAAAATATTTTCTGTTTCTTCACAATACTTGGGGATTTCTCAACAATCATTTCACACACGTTGCTGTTTTTTTAAGATAACGCTAAATCTCCCAGCATTTGCCAACTCACCAAATTTGGATTATCTTTATGTTTTTGTTCTAGTTTAAATCTGTAAATCTGGTGAATATTGACACTTTGTGAGCTTGGTTTAACCTCAGGATAACACCATCATTCTGTTGTTTGCATCATATGTTATTTAAAACTAGAGTGAGCCAACTACATACTGTACACCTGAGTGTCAGGATAATGACAGCAAAGCTGGTCTAACCTGTCAGCCTGTGACAACTGGATCTCTGCGATTTATCTGCCATAAAGCTCTTCTTGTTGGTTTTTTATCACTTTAACAGAGTGAAATATTTACAGTATTTACTCCCAAGCTGGAAATGTACTTCTGTTCTTTACATGTGGACTGTGTGGTTGATGAGTTATGTTTACCGAGTTCTTTGGGGAAGTCCTTCATAGCTGTACGAGCCATCTTCAGGTTTTGTCTGCAGATCTGTTGATTAGCCACAGCTTCTTCATACATCCCTAACGGACAGCGTGGATGATCTGCAAAGGCTGGCAGAGAATCAACACCTGTGTGTTTGTTGAAGTCTGCGTACCAGACCACCTCATTATCCAGTATCAGCACATCCTCTCCATCAGTGTCTGAGCAGCCGCTGACGGAGTTCATCTCGTAGAGACCTGAGGAGAACAGAGAGCTTATTCAGTGTCTGTTATTCAGTGCTGACTGTCAGCAAATGTGGGTCACACAGGAACCATCAGCCTGATGATCCTCAAATATAGAGTCCATTAAAATCTCTTTTTTTAACTATTAGTCAAACAACACGTATGTTGTTAAAAATGTGTGTTTTACATTTGTGTTTTTCTGATTTTTTCATGTCAGACTGGGGAACAGTGTTTGTGTTGTGGAAAAGCTCATATTTAGACAAACAGTGTCCCACTAATCAGCTGGTGGAGTTTAACGATCACGTGATAAATGTGTGCGCGTGCTCCTCTCTTCTGTTTCGGACTTCTGACAGAGTTTATTTGCTCACTAGTATTTTTAATAAGTTCATTAAAACAGAGTTAATGAGTGATTTAGAGACTCACCATCAGCAGAGACACAGAGGACCGAGGAGAGGATGAGGAGCAGCACCCACACCTTCATCTTTATCATCAGCAGCAGGAGCTCTGTGACTCTCTCTGAATGTCTGCGAGCTCGTACACAAACATCAGCCAATCAGAGAACAGGGACCACATGATGTCATCGGTATGCAGGCAGACAGAGGCACCAGGCCCACAAACACAGACGCATAGAAAACAGAAATTAATAATGACATTACAATAAAACTCATTTTGATCAGAGTCCGATGAAGATCACATGGATGGAAAAGAAAGATAAAAAACAAAAAAGCACAAACGGAGCAGGTGGTCAGGTGACTCAGATGGTCAGGTGATCTGCGAATACAGGTGCACTGAGGACACCTGGTGGACAGATGAAGAACTGCAGAGGTGATCTGCTCAAACCTTTAGTCCAGGAGGAGTTGGGGTTCCTCCTGTGAAGGGTGGAGCAGCTGTGATGGCCTCATCCTTCTGCTGTGAGCTTAGATGGACCATAATCAGTCTGAGAGGCTGAATCAGCTCCAGTCCTGCTCTGTCTCTGAACTACAATCTACTGAACCCTGAGATAACTTTAAAAATCCCAGAGACTTTTGGGAAAAGCTGAAATTGAATTCATGTTGATTTTTCATCCAAATCCTCATTAAGATTCAAGACTGAAATCTAAGTGTTTAATAAATGTTAAATCAATGTCAAAATACTGATGACAGTTGTTCTCTAATAACTGACGACCTGTTTATGGCACACGTATTTATTTTTTTGGCCACATTTAAATTGCGTAGTTCATAATATAAATGTATATATGATACACACAATTGTGTTTAATATATGTAATAATGTTATGGTTACTTGCCTCACTTTGTAATTTTATGTCCAACATTTAAATTATTTTTACAGTAACCTTGGTTGCTGTTTACAGAGAGAGTGTTTATGGTACCAGTATGGTGGTCCTTGTGCCATGTGCATTGAGGAGTCAAAGTAAAATCTGATTGCACAATGTCCTGTTGGTATTTATTATGGAAAAGCATGTTTGAGATAAACTGTAGTCTGAAGTACAGCCACAGCCCAAAGAGATACACAACAAAAAGCAGAAACCAGAAGGTTACATTCTTACAGTTGACCAGGTGACATCAAAGATATTGAAAAGTCATGGATTTATGAAATTAAACCTATTATCAGTTGGACTGTTTTATATCACCCATCTGAAAGTGGTACATCCCATGAGAAAAAGTCTTTGGTTTATCTGCCAAACTGCAACTAATAGTCACAATCCTCGAGTTCTGTTTAAAATCTTTAACTCAGTTTTTAAACCTTGCTCTGGTGTTTCGAGGGAGGCCTCCCCAGCTCTCTGCGAAAAATTTCTAAATCATTTTATAGATAAAATCTCTGTGCTAAGAGCCCCACATTCTCCGGCAGTAAATCAAGCCCCAGTCTCCGAATAATCAATGGTTTTTTCAACCTTTTGAACCTGTGTCATTCTCGACTTTAAAGGAAATGATTAATAACCTGCGAAACTCAAATTATTTGCATGACATTAAGGATGCATTGAATACAATCGGGTCCTGTATCTTATTTTCAATGAACTCATCACTGTTATCTGGCTGTGTTAGAATAGAATAGAATAGAATAGAATAGAATAGAATAGAATAGAATAGAATAATCCTTTAATTGTCCCACAAGGGGAAATTTGGTTGTAACAGCAGCCAGAAAGACACATATATGTAGATGTAAAGATGTAAACATCTATGTTTGTTGGGAGCAGTTGTGATTGTACAGTCTGACAGCTGCAGGGAGGAAGGACCTGCAGAAACGCTCCTTCATGCATCGAGGATACAGCAGTCTGTCACTGAAGCAGCTCTGCAGCAACATCTACATGCATGGGGTGGGAGACTCTGTCCATCAGAGATGTTATTTTGGCCAGAGTCCTTCTGTCTCCCACCACCTGCACTGGGTCCAGGGTGCATCCCAGAACAGAGCTGGCCTTCCTGATGAGTTTATCCAGCCTCTTCCTCTCAGCTGCAGATAAACTGCTGCACCAACATACAACACTGTAAAAAATGACGGATGTCACCACAGAGTCATAGAAGGTCTTTAAAAGCGCTCCCTGGACTCCAAATGACCTCAGCCGCCTCAGCAGGTAGAGTCTGCTCTGACCCTTCCTGTAAAGAGCATCAGTCCAGTTTATTATTTAGGTGAACACCCAGGTACCTATAAGAGTCTCAATGTCCACTCCCTGGATGTTCACCGGTGTCAGTGTTTTTGGGTCTGCGTCTCTGGAAGTCCACCACCAACTACTTGGTTTTCCCGGCGTTGATCAGCAGGTGGTTCTGCTGACACCAGTCAACAAAGTCCAGAGTCCACTGTCTGTACTCTGAGTCGTCCTCACCTGTGATGAGGCCGACTATGGCAGAGTCAACAGAGAACTTCTGTAGGTGGCAGCGTGGGGAGTTGATGGAGACGTCTGCAGTGTAGAGGGTGAAGAGGAACGGTGCCAGCACAGTTCCCTGTGGGGGCCCCCGGACTGCAGACCAGCGTGTCAGAGACACAGCCCTGTGACCTCACATACTGTGGGCGGATTTTGGGAGAGGGGGGTGTATGTTGAAGTCCACAGAAGCCGGGGGTGGGTGTAATGGCTGGGAGCTGAGAGGTGTGAAGTCTTGAGATGAAGGACAGGCAGTCCCTGAAGATGAAGGAGATTGCAGCAGGGGGGACGATGCTGTGGGAGGGGTGGGTGTTTGATGAAACCTATTAAAATGTTTATTTAGGTCAGTCACCCACCCCAGGTCTCCTGCAGCCTGGGGGGTTGGTTTTTGTCCTGAGATTGTCTTCAGGCTGTTCCAAACCCCTCTGATGTTGTCCTGTTGCAGCTGCTCTTCCATCTTCCTCCTATAGTTATCCTTTCCTTGCCTTATCTTCCATTTCAGCTTCTTCTGGACAACTCTCAGCTCCTGTTTGTCTCCAGATCTAAAGACTCTCTTCTTCTCCTTGAGGAGAGCCTTAATTTCAAGATTTATCCATGGCTTGTTGTTAGAAAAACAACGTACCTTTATGATGGGTACGGTGTTGTCCACACAGAAGTTCATGTAATCTGTAATGCAGTCTGTGATGTTGTCAATGTTATTTAAAAGTCAATGTCAAGTTTCATCAGTATTTTAATGTTGTTTCAACATTGATTTTGCATTGACATTTCAATCCTAATGATTCTGATGGATGAGATGACAAATCAACATCAGTTCAATGTCTCCTTGCTATCTGGGCCGGAATCCAGTGCCATTAGTGAGTGATACCATATATCCAATATAGCTGCAGAAAAGGCTAACATTGTTATTTTTTTACAAAAAAAACCCCCCAAACAGCTAAACATGAAAGGTTTTTGGACAAAGTTTGTGTTTTCCATTGTTTAAGCACCGGTTCCAACCAAAGGAGGTATGTTGTATCAACAGAAAAGGCTAACTTGGTTATCATTTTGCAGAAAAAAAGAGACTGCTAAAAATAAAAACATAAGAGGTTTTTGGACAAAGTTTGTGTTCTCAATTCTTTAAGCACCGGTTCGAGCACCGTTTAAGCACCGGCACCATTTCAAAAGTACCGGTATCGGATAAAACCTGTACGATACCCATCCCTAATCAATGGAGCACTGAATTTCTAAACTTCTAAAATGTAACGCCTCATTTAAAAACTGCACAAGTACATATAATGGTCAGGGATCAACATGAACCTCTCTTCTCTTTCTATTTGACTTTAATCAACTCTGCAGTGTCTCCAAGTCCAAGAAAAACTCCAGCATAGAGTGGCTGATTGAATGTGGTCTGGACTCTGTGGAGGAGAGTCATGGTTTCAGAGACGCTGTAGAAAGACAGAATACCTGCTCTGTGATCCAGGTACACTCCTACTCTGGAGGAACAAGGACCTGAAAGGATGGTTTGTACTTTGTTGTGAAAAAATTTGTTACTGTTTGTGTCACAACGTAATGCCCAGGATTTGTCATTCCATCCAAATCCACACACTGCAAAAACCCACCTCCTTAATAACTAGATAAATACACTTATTTTTGGTGAAGTTTTGCTTAAAACAAGTAAAATTATCTGCCAGTGGGGTAAGTGTTTTTTTCTTATTAAGATTTCTTGAAATAAGAACAATATCCAGATTTAAATAAAGCTAAAAAATAAGTATTTTACACTTATTCCAGGCAACAAATCAGAACATTGAAACTTAAAATAAGCTTTAACCACTTATTCTAGGGAAAAATTAGATAGTTAAATCTTAAAATAAGCCTTACACACTTATTCCAAGCAACCAATCATGGCAATTGAAACCTAAAATAAGATTTAACCACTTGTTCTAAGCAAAATGTTGAAGAAATTAAATCTGAAAATAGGCATAAAACACTTATTCTAAGGAACAAATCAAGGCAAATAATCTAAAAACT